TTCTAGAGAATAATTATAGATCGTGAGAGAACTACACAGTAATTATAAAAATACAAAGTATACTTCTTCGCCAAATACTAACAATCAACCCAAACCCATAAGAAAATAATAGTAATAATAATAAAAGCCTGAACAATTGAACTAGATTACTAGACATACATAATTCTATCAATGGCGTAACTTGACTAGATTACTAGACATACATGATTCTATCAATGGCGTAACTTGTTTGTATCAATGTGCACGACCTGTTGTCTTCTTGTAGGTATACCACTTTGCGATCCACACATACACGATGAAGTTAATCAGACTAAGGACGGCCAGAAGATAGTAGAAGTAGTCAAGATGGCCTCTGTTCAGGTTATCTGGAATCCAGCCGAGCTTCCCATGCCTTGTTGTAATTTTAGTCACAATGGTAACAAGCAGAGTGCTGAGATAGTTGCCCAATGCAACTGTTGTTAGTGAGAGTGCAGAGCATGTACTTCTCATGGCATCAGGTGCTTGGTCGTAGAAAAACTCCAGCTGCCCAATGAAAGTGAATACTTCTGCACACCCGATGAGGAAATACTGTGGGACTTGCCAGAAAATTGACATGGGGATGTACCCGTCAATGTCATAGTAGTTGTGCCTCTTGACGATGTCAAGGCGGACAACCTCTAGGATCCCAGCAGCGATCATGGAGAAAATGGATATGACGAGGCCAATTCCCATGCGTTGGAGTTGGGTGAAGCCACGCTCCACGCCTGTGAACTTCCTCACGGTGGGGACAATGATTTTGTCATACACAGGAGTCCAGAAGAGGACGCTGAGAGTGTCGAAGATTGATAGGGATGCTGATGGAATTGAGAAGTGAGGACCCATGTGTGGATCCATTGTGTTGCCTTGTAAAACAAACATGGTGCTCATTTGGCTGTAGACAGTAGAAAACACTATGCCAGATGCCCATATTGGGAGTATTCTGATAATGGACTTGAGCTCCTCAACTTGAGTTACCGTGCAAACTCTCCATGGATCTACACTGCCCTTAATCTGGTCTTTTTCTGTCTCCACAGCAGCCTTGTCAAAGAACCTGTAATTTGAAATTTTCGATTAGAGACTAGATTAATGGATCAAAATTTTGAAACTAGTATAGATTAGCCTAACTAAAACAACTACGTTAAGCAATCAAATTTAGAAGCTTCAAGCTTTAATTTACCTGAACTTATCAGTATGCTCAAGCTTGCGGCTCCCTTGAATATTGCATTCCTCATCAGCAGTCTCATAAAGAAGAGACTTATCTTCAGGCACTCGCACATTAAATTTTCTAAAGGATGCAACTATAACCTGGAATATCCTGGTAAGTGGGCTTCCTCCAGGTTTTTGAAGGCGGTACAAATTGCTACCAGAAAAGAAGAATACAACAGCAATGGCCATTGCAACTGCTGGTATCCCAAACCCCCAACCCCAGCCCACATTCATTTGTATCCAGACTAGAACAGAGGAAGCAATAAGTGCTCCAACATTGACAGAAAAGTAAAACCAGTTAAAGAAAGAGCTCTTCTTCTTCCTTTCAGCATCATCAGTTTCATCAAACTGATCAGCACCAAAGGACGAGACACATGGTTTGATTCCACCAGTGCCAAGAGCAATCGTGTAAAGTGCTACAAAGAAGACCGCAGCCTGTGTTGCTGTTGGGTGGCATTCACCCCCATTGCATTCTGGCTTTAGTCCGGTTACTGAAGCAGACAATGTTAGAAGAGTCATGCCCTGAAAGAAAAATCAGAACATAACATTTTTGATGCTAAATCAAATACAACTAAGTAACCCCATAAGAGAACCCTGTTCGTGACCAAACTTCTATATGACAAATGTACAAGACATTGATTAAATTTATTTTCACTTGGACCTCTAGAGAGCCATCATCATATGCAACTGAAGCCTTTAACACATTGCAGGTAAAAGGACAAGAAAAAACAAGGAAATTTTGGTGTTGGAACAGAACTCACCAAGACATAGATGATTGAGAAAATAGCAATTGTCCAATATCTTCCCCAATATGCATCAGCTAGAAAGGCTCCAATCAATGGTGTAATATAGCAGGTCCCCGACCAATTTGTCACATTGTTTGCTGCGGTGGCATTTCCCTGATTGAGACGCTGTTTAAGATAGTTGACCAGATTGGTCCCCATCCCATAGTATGCCAGCCTTTCACAGCATTCATTTCCTGAGGAAATTTTTAGTGTCAATATATATATATATATATATATATAACAGATCAGATACCACACATAATTAAAGATTGAAACAGGTACAATTCTACTTATCTAGTCAAGAAAAAGAACAAACATTTGTTTAGATTAGATTACCAAGGATAAAGCGGCAAGCCTTCCAATTTCCAGTTTTCTTCTTATTGGCAGGCTTCTTGTGGATATTCAAAGTCCCATCATTTGTATAGATATCATCTTCTGCCATCTTATCCTTGAAGGCTTTCTAATTCTATGCCCTGAATCAAGATGTAATTAATTTTCATTTAAAAGAATTACCCACAAAGTGAACATATAAGATTCTTAAACTTTATAGGGATTATGACAGAATCTAATAACCAAAAATCTGTATGAATATTCTGATAAAAGAAAGAGTTCATGAATCTAGGAGTAATTTCAGTCTTAGATATATATATACATGGTCCTAGACATTCTCTTTCTAGTTTTTAATGCATAAGAATATTTAATGCACAAGAATATTTAATGCACACATCATATTACCAAAATAATATAAAACCACATATGCACATGGATCTCACAATAATTGTATTAGGAGAATTGTTTATATTGCCAACTAAGAAAATGATCACTGACTTTTCTACATCTTAATTATGACAATATGATGAACATGATTTGATTATGCAAATCCTGCAATGATCCTTAATTACGATTTACACAATATGATGAACTTATCATAACTGAGGTTGTGCTGCCGCTTAGCACAAACATCCTTAAACAGAAAAAGAAGAAAGGAATGGACCATCTTTTCATATTCAACTCCTTTAGCTCCTCTAGCTGTCTAGCACATGATATGATACACACATAAACCATGAGAAAAGGAATTAGGTTGACCCCTAAAAATCAGTTTTTACCCTTCTAGTATTATTTAGAAAACCATGCCGTCCTCACCTACAATGATACGTGACATATTCTACCGCTTACGGCATAAAGCCAAGAGAATATCTCATCTAGCGAAAGCGGCAGAAACCAGCCAAGAGACGTCCATCACGGATGATTCCACAAATTCGTTTTAAATAATTTAAAATTCAAAGTTTGCGTCAAGACTCAGCATGATAATATTATTCAACTCTCTAAATTCAATACGTCACATTTTATTAATTTTTAATTGCAAGGTAATAACTTTGAACCCAGAATCAAAGACACAAACCAGAGCAAAAACAGAATTAAGGATTCTGTTACAAATTCCTCAGTGTTTATGCCAACCCCATAAAAATAGACAATCACGGAGAGCTCAAATATCAGGGATTAGAAAAGTAAGCACTACTAAAACCAAAACTAGTTTACAACAGGACATGATAAATCTTTGAAATGTTATTACAGATTCATAAAAGTTGAAAAAACAAAAAGAAAGAAACTTTAGGGAGTTTCATCATCAAGACATAAAACCCAATAAACTAATAGTAGAAATGAAATCTGCACATTACACATAAACAAAGAATACATGCAAGCCCAAAACACCCACCATGATATTGAGGGGTTGAGAAATATTTAAAAGTACAGAATGCGATGTCAGTGATCAGAGTTGAGACATACCTCCGGCGGAGACTGGTACGGCGGCCTAATCCTGGAATAAAAGAGCAGAAAACCGAGAGAAACAAGGCGAAAGAGGCCCGATTCTTGCTACTCAGACCAAGAAGGGAGAAAAATTCTTAGTCAGAGAAGAATCCGCCACTCTAAGATAAACGCGTGTGGACGTGAATCTTTATAGTGGGCGAAACTTCAGATTCTTGCAAATCCGTCCCTGTGCTTTTTGGTATTTACAAAATAATGCCAAAAAAAAAAAAACATTTTCTTACCCTGTATTACTCCTATTATGACATTGAGTAATGGAAAATTATTTTATAGGGTGGGTTGTATATAAATTGTCTTAAAAAATTATTTAAATATTTTTAATAAAATAATATATAATTAAAATTAAAGATATCTAAATAATTTTATA